ATGCTCTCCATCAACGTCATCTGCATCTTTTTCTACCGCAAAGAGCAGCTTTCAAAACCATAGTTGTCGCATATATTGTAGTCTAACTATTTTGGACCAGTCTCTTGGTTGTAGAGATCTGGTCAGCATCATTTGGAGTAATTGGGAGACATTTGTCTAGTGTTCATGTTTGGTTCAATCACCGCGGAGATATATAAATTGTACATTTTTTTTCTCTGAACGATGTACATGGGAGATGTTTGATTCATGTGAAGTGTGAGAGACTGGGTTTTGGCTATATATTTGAATAATGTTGGTAGGATACAAGCAGATAATAGGATATATATAATACAGAAAGACAGCCATATCCCATCAAATGTTTGTGTCAAGCGTCGTATCCAAGTCACATAATCTTCTTTAGATCAGGTGATGGCGCAGCGCGGGACAAGTTCGGCCCGAGCCATCCCGGCTATTCCTGTTCGGGCCTGATCCCTCAGGCCGCCTGCATGACTTTTGATTAAATACGAGATGATTGCCCCCTCTCCCTAACTCGTGTCGAAAAATTATCCCATTTCTTGCCAGACCTTTCTGCAATACGCGTCTTGTCTTTTGTTTTCAGTGAGAGCCGTTGTTCTGCCACTCTCTTCAGAGCAACACGATTCTCGTTCACTCGTTTAACTTATTCACCCGTCGCCCTATCAACAACTTTAGGCATTTTACTCCAGTCACTCTTTACTGTCTACCATGTATCGCTCACTTTTTTCTATTCTTATTGCTCTCTGCTTCTATGCCCATTGCGCCTTTGCCTCCTTAACTTCAAGCGAGATCGCCAACTCTTTGAATGAATTGGCGCAACAAGGTTTCGCTGCCAAGGATCTCGTATTGGAGATTAACTCCACCGCCGATGCCGGTCCGATGCGTGTATGTTTGCCCTGGGTATCCTGAGATACGGTCATGATCCACAGCTTGAAGTATGCGTTTTACTGATGAGGTGTAGGATGTCTATACGGAAATGGATACGATGGTGACCGTGGTCCTCACGGACGTCGAGTTCATGACCAATACCCCTATCATCACTGATCAATCCGAAGAGCAGACAGTATATGAAGGGTACTCAAATGTGAGGTCATCAGCCTAACCCATAGCAACTAAATATATAACTTATTCCTTTGGCCGCTAGTTCGTACAGTCGCTCCTTGAGCTCATGGACGCCTTCTCCGACAGCGCAACTGAGTTGAAGTCGATTGACTCAACCACCAAGGAGAAAGTGCCCTCGGAAGTTCGCATCCTGGAAAGTGCCGTGGACGTGAGATTGCCTCGAATTTTGAGCCGTGGAAGTTCACACTAATATGTTATCAGGCCTACTTCTATAATATTATCGGCCTTTTCCCAGCCAACAGCTCGTACAATGCCCAAGCCAGCAACCAGAAAGCCCAGGTTGACACTCATTGCTTCCAGGCTATCTGGGCGTTTGATCTCAGCGATGGCAGTCAGTCTAGCTCTCAATCGCGCAGGAATAACTCTCTTCGCGCTCGAAGAATGATGCGAAACTCTGCGTAAATTGAAACATGTACTTTCTGTAAGGATTGCGCAGAGCTGGATGGTCACCTCGATGGTCACCAACGAAACCCGCTGCTGTATATTTTTTATTTTAAATTACCTTGTACCACAATGATAATTTCACTGGCACTTTCAGGCACTAAGTTTATGAGTGGTCATTGTTTTGCTGGCTACATATATTGGAAGTAGACGAAATCTAGCGATACTACTCCCGGGGCAGCAGAATCGCCCTGAAGTACAGAACACGTAAGATAGTCACACCTGTGGTTCTCCTCTCCTATGGAAAAAAGAAAAAAGAATAAAACAAGAAAGGAGGCCCTCTTAGGTCTATATCTTGCTTCTAATGTTATTATTTGGGTGGTCATTGCTTTACAATCTTACCATAGGTCCGTCTGGAGAGTCAATAAAAATAGGATTTGGAAAGATGAAACTCAAATTCTATAGTGCTTAATCTGAAGTAGATTAGAATTTATAGCAGACATTCGAAAACTATAGAATGAGCCTTTTAGGGAAGCGAAGGAAACCACTGCAGACTCATCAAAATCCTCTTTCACGGGTCAAAGGCAGTCTTGGGTATTGAGCATGTCGTCGCCGATCAGCTTCGTGCGGATAATATCTCTTCGGTATCCATCAGCGCCTATATCCGGTCCCATCATCATATGAATCACACCGTTGAAGCATAGTCTGCCGAAGAAGTGACCGTGTGTCCTGCCGCCAACTTTGGAGCTATATCCCCTGCTAAAAGGAGGGGGTTATACTCAAAACTTCCCCTCTATTACGGACTAAATGTGACGATTGAAGTATAGGAGATGCAGAGACTGCACTTTTGGATGGCCTCCGATGCAAGAAGCGAAGTCTTGTATTTTCATCACGCTTGATGCAGCCCTTCGGAATGTCTGCCATTCTTCCAAATGCACATCACCGACGGAGATATGGCTGGGTACAAAGCCACCGGGACTGGAGATTTCCGAAGATTCTTCGCTGTTGCTATTGATGGGAATAGGGAATACTTAATTCAGACATGCCATTGGTCTACGCCTAGGAGGTCTATGGCATCACTCTAAACCACGCCCAGTCGTATTATTGGTGCAGTTGTATGTGCGGAGTGGGGATTCGGGATAGTGGTATGCCATATAGAGTAAAGAGGGAAACGAGGAGAACAATGAGTAAAGAGACATGACATTGACCCAAGAACATACATAACAAGAAGACAGGATGGCAGTCTACGGCCTCAACACAACCTGACCCCCCCAGCCACTCAATTTTCCTGCCGCATTTAATGCGCCTTCAATTTCATCCAGCCCAAATTCCTCGATGTGAGTGACGCCGCCCTTCCCACCCAACTGAAGCAACCCAGACCGCACCATTTGAATCAGCCGGAACACATGCGGACGATCGTACATAAATCGTCCCTGAATGCGAATGCCCTTGAACATGATCTCGCCGTAAGGCACCTGAATAGTTCCCAAGTGACCACCCATTAGGACACATCGACCAAAAGATCCCAGCGCACGAATGCCTGCAACTAACAGGGATGAGTCCTGAACGGTTGGGGGCGACAGGTCCAGGTATACATGGGCCCCCTCCGGTTGGCCGACCGCTGTTTTGAAGGACTGGGTATCCGTAGCCTCGTCCCCGGTGATTTGGACTGTGATAAGTCGCTGTGTACCATGGATGCGTTCGAGCTTTTCCAGAGCTGCCCTGTCGCGACCGGCCGCGATGACCGTGGCCCCCATGGCCAGGGCTGCGCCCACCGCGCCGCCACCAAAACGCCCTGTAGCTGGGGCCACGATCACCACCTCGCCCGGTTTCACGTCCACCTCGGCCAGCCCGCCAAAGGGGACCAGATATGTGGTCAAGAGACAGAGGTCGCTGATGCTGTATCCCAGCCGCCCCAGAAGAGCTTCCTCGTCTAGCGGATACAGATTCTCCAGAGGGAACCGCGCGTATTCAGCATATGTTCCGTTGCGCCAGACTCCATCCATGAGTTTCTGCGCCGCAGGATGAATTGCTCCATGAACTCCGTACAGCATGGTGACAGCGGGGTTATCGCGCGCGCGAATGGTTATGTCGCAAAAGACAAGTTGACCCGGCCTGAGGGTGACACAGTCGGGTCCAACTTCATGGATGCGCGCGATGGCCGTGTTTCCCGGAGTCATGGGGATGGAGAGCGGGTATGGGCGTTGGTTCGTGATTACCTCCCTCATATAGGGGACAATATCAGCACCCAGGATGCGGACAATGGCATCACCAGTCGATGCCACAGGGCGAGGCACATTTTCCACGACCAGGGGCTTGTCCCGCGCATAAATCACCGCCGCTTTGTGGGTTGACATACTTTTCTTTTTGTTGGTCCGAGGCAGTTGCTAGGTCATAGAGGATAAGCCGTTTCTTCTCTGCTGCCTTAACTGATCTGTCGAGCATTTTGATTCCGTGCTTTGTCCATCAATTTAAGGAAGACAGATCCACGGTAGGCGAGAATGGTATATCCGCAAACTCCGGTCACCCCGACCAACAAAAGTCTGGTAATGATGAAGCAAGATACTACGGATTACCCATTTAAGCGACCCCATCTGTCATAGTGAACTCTGGTAAACGGTCAATTACACCAGATATAGCCCTGGACGGTGGGTCCTAATCACAACACTTCTGTGACTGCTTGCGCGGCACTGGATTCACGGCGACGGCGATAACTTCTCACTGCTCCCCGTATCTCCGAGCCCCTCCATCAACGCGCTTTGTATGTCATGGATCCGTGGTCAATGTATGACCTGCCATGCCGCACGTCGCACCCGCACTCGTATTGGATTCAGCCGTCAGATGGTTGACTGCTGATCTCATGGCAGATACTAAAGCCGTATGTGGTGGAAATTCTGCCTCCCATGTACATAGACAAAGTAGAGTGGTTCCGGCTCTGACGCCGACTGATAACTTTAGAGAAAAGCATACTCATGAAGTGAACACCAAAGTGGCAGGGTAAATGTGCGAGCCCCACTGGGTCTAGAACACATGATTAGGCAGCTAAACCTATTAAAGCTATCTCATCAGCGTTCATACCTACTGTCCTGGTACTACTCGTAGCCCGGCCCTATGTCTATACTTACCTAGCTGTTGTTATGGGCGCGCTTCGGGGCCATTGAGGGCAAGGCACCCGCGAGATGGGCACTAGGCCTAACCGCAGGGCTGCGGCAGTTGCTCCGCACGGTGAGATTCTGCAGCAGGCCTTTTGAATGCCGTTATTCCCCTTGCTTGATAAAGTGGATGCATGGTAATGGGTGGCCCGCAGATCGTCGACTGGCTACTGATGCTGAATGGTCGATCCTGGACTACCGCTGTGCTATGCTGAAGTGTCAGGCGTCCATTCCTTTCATACAGGCCTACCTTCAGACCCCGATAATACTTGAGGGAGGGGGATTGTGGCGGGTCAAGGGCATATGCTGAAGAGAGGCAACTACCATACAATGCAGGACTCGATGCTGTCAGATATGAATCACGTTTGGTTCGTGAAGGTTATCACCCCCAAGGTGCAAGGGACCATCAACATCGTCTCTACCCTATGCCCCACCAGGTCTTAGCTGGATTTCTTCATCATGTGCTCCTCGTCAGCGGGAGTCATTGCCAACCGCGGCCAGGCCAAGTATGCTGCCACCAACACCTTCCTGCATGCTTTTGCGTGTCAACTGATGACAGGAGGCTACCCGGCCACCTCGATCAGTCTGGGAAGCGTGTTCTCAGTGGGTTGGATCGTAGAGAACCAACTTAGACTCTCCATCACGCTCGCCTACAGGGCCCTCTGGAAAGACCTTCTATTCTCTATCCTGGAATATCGTATAAACCCTGCCTGGGGGGCGGCAGAGTACCCAGACCTGCCACACGGTGGTCGGGATACGACCCGCGCGGGACTTTCAACGCCAGTCCATCCCTCTGCCCGGGTTCATGGCCCATTCGTTATTCTCTCCGCGTTGGGCCATTGCAGGCAGGTCCCAAATAACCGAACAAGAGGTCGAGGCGACGATAGACGTTGTGACGCGAGCCATCGTCGATAAACTGGCGCGTATTATGACACTTTCTGTTCAGGAGATTAATCCGCAGCGGTCGCTGGGCTTGTACGAGATGTATATTCCCTGGTAACAGTGGACTTGAAAACCTAGTTCGAACGGGAAGTGGGGGTTTCCATAGGATCGGGGGAGCTGTTGGCGGAGCTGGCCATGACCCAGTTGGCCCGATAGACTGCGGACGGATCGCAGTTCTTGCCGGCGGAGCTCGGGAGAAGTTATTAGGAGAAGGGCCTGTATCCAATTAAGAAAGAAGCTTCAATAGGGTGCAATTGCATGATGGAGGCCCAAAAAGACAAGCCAGGAAGAATGAAGCTTTCGACCATGAGGAAAGATGGTGAGGCGCCATCTCCAGGCATTCAGGCATGAATGTTAGTAATCAGCGAAGTATCAAGTGACTTTTACCGAGGCAAGAAAGTGGCACTAGCCCCAAATACGTAACACGACAACCAGCTGCTGTTTTGAGACAAAAAAAGAATTATCAACAATAATAAACTGAGGACATCAAGACGCGCACCCACCGATATTATGGATGTGCTATTGCTAATATCTTCTCGACTAGTAGGTGGTTAATGATTTACCCTTCTTGCCCTGCTTATCTCTGTGATCAGGCCATTATGGGCCTCCTTATGGGGGTACCCAGACTAGGAGCAAGACACTTAGCTTGATGGAGATTCAGTAACCAGGCAGAATCGACTAGCTACATACAAGCAATGTCTCGGAAACGGAGCGCAGAACTCAGACCTCGAGATATTGTCACTCCTGCTCGAATGGCGGCGTGCTTTGCTTTTGGCTGTCCTACGTGCAGTGTCGGATGAACAAAGCATATTTGACCAGGTGAGGAGCAAGGAAATACGCTCCAAAGCCGATATCGCTGAGATTTAAAGTCATTGGCCAACAAGGGCTGCAGGAATATTAAAAATTAATATCAAGACTGGGACTACGCCCGCCACTGGCCCTTCAATGCAATCGTGGATCTACCGCCGACATATCGACGCTTCCCCTCGGCAAAGTTTAGACCAAGCCTCACCGCCAATAAATAAAAATTATTATCATGATTTTGGATCTTGAGCCAGCTGTGGCATATGCTGGCTACACGAGTAACTACGCGGTCCGCTTCACAACATCTGAGGCCCATGTTTAGCCACTAGTAGTTCAGATCTTCCCTGTTTCTATAAGAGATCCATCTTCCTGTGCACTAAGGCGTGCCAAACTTTTGGCCCTCTAGTCTTGTGACCGAGCTTTCAGTTTATGCTTCAGTTTTCTTGCCCGGGAGAACATACCTGGTACAGAGATCAGTCATGACAGTGGTGCAGCACCGTCCACACGGTGCCCCTTCGAGGAATATGAACGGATCCTTGAGAAGAATCCCATTTTGGCGCCCACTGGCTGTACGGAAGAATCTTGCCAAGCTGGACGTCTCATCCACAGCGCTGAGCCAAAGGTCGGGAAGAATCGTCCCCTCGAAGTGGTGAAGAATGAAGCGGTGGCTTTTCTCTGGCAGTTGTGGCAGGAAGGCATCTACACCGAAGACCGTTACCTAGAAAGGCGCGCACAAGTACTGGAGGAGATCGCTCGATCAGCTAAAACCACAATTGTGTGGGATCAGGGATACAAGCGAGTGGGCAAGACTTCGATCTGGACGCAAAGCGCCGAAGAACTTGTTATGGGCTGCGTCTGGCCTGGAAGAATTCGCGCAGGTGTATCATGCGCTCGCGGTATCAAGATCTGGGCCTCTGTGATCGGCGACATATTCATACAAGCGTCGGTATGGCCACAGCACTTCTCGAGGAAGCCACTAAGGCCTTCAATGGTGGTCAGATTAAGCCGACGGGTAGGACATTCCAGTAGAATTATCACCGCATCTTATTCTGATCTAACCATCTTCTCAAGTGTTTGTGTTTCCGCCGAAGTCTGTGGATGGCAGTGGCCCAATGTTTTGGGACAAGCAAGTGCTGAACTTCGCTGGTGTACGTTATCCGTTCCAGTTGCCTTCCCTAACGACTTTGATGCTAATGTAAGCTGGATTCGCAACCCTCAGTACGAGCTAGAGGACGGCTCTATTGTAGGTGACCCCAGTAATGTCAAGTTAACTCAAGACATCATTGACTTGGGCTGGGCACCACCACGGCCCAAGACCCCATGGGATCTCCTACCCATTGTTGCCATGGCGGAAAATGACGCACCAGCTCTTGTCGAGGTGCCGGACGACCTCCGTCGGTTCAACATCCGGACTACCCCGGCTTCAATGCACTCAGCCTCAGGTGGTACCAATTCCCAGCTCTAATTCGACTGGGCTTTGATATAGGCGGACTTCAGTACACAGCAACGCCGTTTATTGAATGGTACGGCCATTCTCTTCATGGTCGGTGTTGACTCTCGCTGACCCTGACAAGGTACATGGATGCGGAGATCGGAGTGAGGAATCTTACCGACACGTTCCGTTTCGACGCCCTGCCCGAGGTGGTCAATGCCATTGGGTTTGTCATCGACGCTTATCGTGCAAAGCCTGAGTACGCAGACATACGAGAACTGGAGGAACCCCAGACTATGAGCAGCTGCGGTGGCGGAGCCGCGCCCAAACCATGCTGAATTACGCCGTGCGTTGGTCCTTCCTCCAGCATGGCGTTACTTGTGTGGGAACATTGGCTGCATCCTCGGACTGGAGTCAGTTCGACAATGAACATGCCTCAACGAAGGGCTACCGACTGAATTCAGATCCCTATTGGCTATCACCGCCGTAGGGATCAATCATACCCGTATGGCATCATGGTGGTGCGCCGAATTACCAGCCGAATCCCATGATTTGTCGAAATCGGTATGATCCTGTTAATTCCTGGCAGCGTCGGAAGGGTTCTACGGAGGCAGTTCCAGCCCTTCTGGTGAGAAACGGGAATACCTGGGTCACCGAGGCTCTGACTAGGTTTGCCACTGATAATTCAGGCCCCAAGAGGTGTAAACTGACAGAATCTCCCAGCAAAGAGCAACCCTGCACGGTGCATATATCCTACTGCAGCCAGGGTACTACAGCACGGACCCTAGCCGAAAGGCTACACCGGCGACTGAAGCGCCGTGCCAGAGGCTTTCAAGTGAAGTTTAGCACCTTGGACGCCTTGGATTTGACTCTAATTGAGACATTCGATACCATAATTCCAGTTGCCTCTACCACCGGCAGTGGTGCCTTTCATGCCAATAAGGCTGATTTTGCGAAGGCCTTAGGACATTTCCGCCACACGCTCAAAATTGATTTCTTCCGTGTGTGCCACCACCTTTTGTAACCTCCCTAAGCCACAACCTGAGGATATATGCTTCCCCCTCCCCCCCACCCAGGCACTCCCCACTGAGAAACTTAAGAAATATCACCACATTATACCTATGGCAGTGCTTACATAACGTCATAACCCGGCTCTTTATCTCACGTGATATCCTAAGGCTGCCAGGCAGCAATCTCACGTCAGCCCCCTCAACTAACCCCAACGAATCAACGAGTTAACCACCTTATCATCTTTCAATCAATCGCATCAGGAAAGACATTCGTCTCTTGGTTTAATATCCTCGCGTAGTACCCCAACCGCAATTCTTTTACACACGCACACACACACATATATATATATTTATAATCATGTGATCTAGACATCTCTCTAACAGTCAACGAACCCTTTCCCGTTCCGACGGGAAGAATCCGAGCACTGGAGCCCCTGAAGGATCGTCGGGTGTTAGTCTGTATCTAGTGGCTCGGCTTCATCTTACCTCTTCGCACGGCCCCCCCCTCAAACCCACTGCAGTCCTCGAATGTGTCAGAGTCTCAACAGTACAGCACCCGAGGGTGCAAGGGATTGGTTCATTCGACAAGCTGACATTCCTGGGCCGCCCCGCCCGCCGCCAACCGGCTGCCTCACCAATGTCTCTCTCGTCCCTCAGGCTTCTTCAGGTTGGACTCGCCAGGTTCTCCCTCATGCCTATCTGGGATGGCGTGCTCGCGCGTGCCCTTGATAGCCTGCCCAGTCCAGGCCTGAAAATTCCTCTCTTCTCTTCAAAGGCATCTTGGCCCCCACCAGCCTCGGCACGGCCCCTGTTCAAGCGGCTTTCGTGTGGGCATGGCTGGCGCGCTGCCCATCGACAGTCATTTCCCCAGATGAAAATCTCCCTTCGTCCCGCCCATATCCCTCTTATTTCTGTCGTTGAAATGTGAGATGGCACTGCTGCTGCTGCTGCCGCCGCCGCCGACCTGAAATCAGTTCCCATCCGGGTAAAGAGAGAAAAAGCTGGGGGTGTTTGTCAGCATGTGGCTCTACCATTTGCTGCTGATCGTCCTTCTGGAACGACTGGTGTCCGGCACCACCTGCTACTTCCCTGAAGGCAACGTGGCCGAGGATTACACGCCTTGTTCCGACAATGGCGTCTCGTTCTGCTGCAATAAGAACTCGATTTGCTTGAGCAATGGCCTCTGCACCTCCATGCATCAACCGTATGTTCTCGGCCGCGGCGCCTGTACCTCCCAAAGTTGGAACGATACCTCGGTCTGCGACGATGTCTGTCATGGAAGTACGTGAGATACCTCGCTCACTCTGATAGTTTGGCTTCAACCTAGTCTACTGTTCCTCTTTGCGACTGACCAGATACTCGCAAAATTACAGTCACCACCGCGTGGAGCAGCGCGTGCTCCCTCATCCTCTACAGTGACGTGAACGGAGTCAAATTATATTGCCCCAACTCGATTATTTCCAACGGGACCGACTCCATCGGATGCGCCAATGGTGTCTCGCCCGTTTCAGTGGGCACTGGCAAGCCCATTGCTGGCAAGGCATATCTGGCCAGCTACTCCCTCCTCCCCACTGCTAGCACCGCCACCAGCACCGCGACTGCGACCTCTACCACCGAGCCCAATACCTCGTCTTCCTCCACAGCCGATGAAAGCTGCAGCAGTCCGACCGCGGCTGATGGCAACCAAGTCAGCCGGGCGACCGTGACTGCGGTTGGGGCCGGGGTCGGCGTCCCCCTTGGGCTGCTGGCGTTGGCATCGCTGGGCTATGGTCTGAATGAGAGGAGAAAGCGGCTCCAGCTCCAGAATGCCCCGCCAAACATGTACCAGATGCCGGCGGCCTCGTCAACGTCCTACCGATCGAGGAATATGGCCGCGAAGGAGCTATCTGGCCATATACCGCTTCATGAGCTGGACACGTGAAGTGCATGGAGGGCGCATACAAATGCTTGTTAGGGTTGATGGGAAGGGAAGACAGAAAGGGAGACTGGCAAACGGAATGTGGGTGTCTGTTTGAGGTCACAGCAACTACATATGATGTTGCACGTATTTCCGTTACTCCTAAAGAGTTCGTGTCTGTCCCCGGGCTCAACCTGCTGAACCTGTACATTTGGGGTCCGGCCAACAAAGAACCGTAAAAATAATATTAATACACTGCTTCCGAGCAGATAATGTACAATACATAACGTAAACCTGGCTGAATCTGCTAGACTTCAAACTATAAAGAGAGCGACCCGGAGTGTAAGGAGTGAGATAAAGAGACACTTCTACAGCCAGTGCGCACTGCTTGACCTCCCTCGGGGGCTTCCCTGATAGTTCTCGGAACCAAAACAGCAGCTGAATAGTCATGCCGCCACAACAAGCCCGACTTGGAGAAGACGAATCCGCGACGAGTAGTGCCAATTGAACAAGCATAGGATTCCTACGAAGTACCAGCCATACCAATGACCCCTGACTGTACCCAAGAGCGAATTATCAGGCTCAACCTTGAACATCATGCGAATGTCAACAGCAGCCAATCCCTCCAACTAATCTACAATAATTGTGTCTAATGATTTGCCACCCTCAACGTCAGTTTAATGACGCTTCTAAGCGAGAGCTCTTGAACGCATCTATCAAAACTGACAAAGGTATGTGCGAGGCCTGACCCTGAGTCCAGGTTGATGATGCCGTCCTAATGCGGGCTTCACATATATGGGGAGATCCCCTGTATGCATACACAGTTGGAAGAAGAACAAGAAAGCGGAAACCTTGCCAACGAACCATGTTGCCCATACAGGAAGCTATTATCATTTGGCCGGCTTGCAATAGCCACATATACTGTGTTGACAGATCACACACCTTGGCTGGCGATCCCAAACCTTCGGGCCGTCACCACACTGGCACTGCGGAATCGATGAGCACCTTTCAATATTCAGAATTATATACAAGGGGGTTAACCAACACAAAAATATAAAGTGGGCAATGTCAGGTACGGTAAGAGATGATCATGAACGCCGACAACCTGCTCGGTCGACCTCAGAGCTGAGCTGGCTGAGGAAAGGTGTCGTATGGAAGGCTGTGTACAGTGTAGGAAGGGAATCATATCACCTGCCGATCTTAAGATCGGATGGCAGAGCGTTGCATCGGGCTCGAGCTGCTCTAGTGGGCTGTGATGATCTATCACCCTGTCGTTGTCTGGGAGGAAATCAAGGGTGATATCATAGTGTGCCATGTTTGGGCTGTCAAGAGACAAATTGATGTATTGCTCGCATGCGGGAGGACTTTGATAAGCTGGTGGGGGCATGGCTACTGCTCTTACCAGTATTAATATAGAGGTTCTTGTGGCTATGTCTCCCGCCACAGCTGCGATTGGGTAGCAGTCAGGCAGGAAGATGGGCCGGATGCTCCAGCTGCGACACACATGATCTCAGCAACGGGACGTATGATTCTCCTCACTAAGAAAACAAGCTTAGCACCACCTCCCCGACGCTCATAATGGCATACGGGCCGAAACCTTCTCACAATGATTATACCGTGGCGTGGATATGCGCACTCCCAGTGGAGCTGGCGGCTGCCCAAGCCCTTCTGGATGAGACCCACGATCAGCTTCCAGCCGGCCAGACTGACGCGAATATTTACACACTAGGGTGCATATATGGTCATAGGATAGTCCTCACCTGCTTGCCTAGCGGAGTATGCGGCACGATCTCTGCAGCAGTTGTCGCGACCCAACTTCTGTCAACTTTCCATTCCATTCAGTTCGCCCTCCTAGTCGGTATTGGCGGAGGCATACCAACTAAGAATGCAGATGTCCGTCTTGGCGACGTAGTCGTTGCAAGACCTACTGACAACAACGGAGGTGTCGTACAATATGACTTTGGCAAAGCAACAGCCGCTGGCTTTCAGCGGACAGGCATGTTAAATAACCCGCCCAGATCCCTCTTGCATGCGATCTCTAAAGTAGAAGCAAACCATTTGTCACATGACCGTCAGTTTGTCTCTTTTCTGTCTGAATTCGAAAGGAGAACGACTGGACAGGGGGCCTTGGTCCTCTCGAGGCCGGTCACGGAAGATCATCTGTATCTTGCAGATTACCATCATGCTGGCATCCGGTCCGATGGATGTGCAAATTGCGATAAGTCGAGGACGGCTTCACGGCCTGTCCGATGCGATGGCTTGCCAGTGGTTCATTATGGATTAATTGCATCAGGGAACCAAGTGATCAAAGACAGTCACGTACGTGACAAGCTAGGGCAGGAGCTTGGGGCGTACTGTGTTGAGATGGAAGCAGCCGGTTTGATTAACCATCTTCCATGTTTGGTGATCCGTGGCATATGTGACTATGCCGATTCACACAAGAATGACGCATGGCATGGGTATGCTGCCGCTACAGCTGCAGCTTATGCGAAGGAACTACTTTCCGTAATGCCAGTTTCCCAACATCATATGGCTGCTTCGATAGATACTTCGCAGGGTGAGTGACGTAACTTGCTCCTGATAAAGCATCTGACCGCTGATAGTTGGAGGCTAGAAAATTACCACATACCATTTCAACTGACTGACGTACCCACGATAAGCAACTTTGTCGGTCGAGATGTATACCTCCGCAAGCTATGGGAGATCCTGCAACCGAATAAAGTGAAGGCGCGCAAAGGTGTCGTGATACATGGAATGGGTGGGCTGGGCAAAACACAACTAGCAGCCCACTTCGCTCGCATGCACAAAGAGGACTTCACATCAATTTTCTGGCTGCATGGCAAGGATGAGACTACCTTGAATGCGTCATTTGCAGACCTCGTTGTCCGCGTCAGAGATATGGCTGCAACCGACAGTACGCACCACCATTCGATGCAAGGAGGGCCACCTTTATGTGCCAAAAGAGCCCTAGAGTGGCTGTCGAAGAAAAATAACGCTGGGTGGCTTCTCATCTACGATGATGTAGAAGCTCCTGACATTAAAAGCTGGCTGCCGACTGCAGATCATGGCTCGATTATCATCACAACTCGATCACCGCAACTTGCTGAGGGCATGATCGCTCACCCACTCACGCCGCTTCCCTTTGAGGATGCCTTGCAACTACTCACTGGCGAGCCAGGCCCTAGAGACAGCACATACGGCAGATGCCAAAACGACCCAAGCTCCGAAGCACTAGCTAAGCGTTTGCACGGATTACCTTTAGCACTGGCACTTGCAGGCTCCTATATCCACCGGACAGGTATGAGCTGCTCCAAATACTTGGAATACTACCAACGCGAATGGTGCAGCCTTCAGGCAGCCGCACAACCTCTTCGAGGGTATTCAAACGGAAATCTGCAGACGGCGTGGAGAGTTTCTTATGAGGGAGTTAAGCAAAGCTCTCCACTGGCGGCACAGACCTTCTTTATTCTTTCGCTCTTTCATCACGAAGATATATGGTACGAGCTACTCCACAGCACCATGCAATCCCGCATTATACCCTCAGGGCTTTCAGAAGCTTTCTCAAACGAGATCCAATTTTCAAAGTTGATGCAGACATTGCTAGACTTCTCGCTGGTACAGCAGTCTTCGCGCAACGGGAGTTATTGCCTACACCCGGTCATACAAGATTGGTGTGAGAATGAGCTTCCGTCTGTCGATTCGGACCTCGAAGAGCTTAGCAGAAAGACCTTTACCATTCTCGCACTCACAGTGGGCTCGAACGCCCAATTTGCGCTAGACACGAACGACTGGTCGTTGCAACAGCGCCTTCTGTACCACGCAAACAGAATCATGCCATTGATACGAGGCAAGCCAAGAGAGAGTCGAAATTCCGAGGTCCTTTCGGCACTTCATGCGATTGGGCGCCTGTATTGGACACATGGAAGGCACGAACGAGCAGAGCAGATGTACCAAATGGCACTTGCTGGGAGAGAGATGGCGTTCGGCCCGGATCACAGAGTCACTCTCCAGACCGTCCATAACATGGGCTTGCTGTACCATGACCGGGGAGATTTGAGATCAGCCGAGCTGATGTTTGAGCGGGCGCTTTCCGGATATAAAAGCACCGAGATTGATGATTCTCAACTGGAGGCGCTGGATACGCTTCAGAGCCTTGCAAATATCTACCATGCTCAGGGGAGA